CGCCCGCAGCGCTGGACAGGGGCAGACAAGCTTCCTTCAGGAAATGGGATCTGGTTTTTTTATTAGACCAACTAAATACTCGTACACAGACTACATAGAAGAAAATGTTGGGGACAGTCCAAAGACCAACCAAAGAGTCGGGAAATAGTCGCGGTGGTGGCCCCCCATGGAGAGTGCCCACCCCAGGAGTGGACGCAGTTGTGTGGGTGAATGGGATCTCTTTTCGTCGACCAACAAAGTAGTTGGCAAAAATTGTTCTTCGCAAGCGGTGGCACCGGGGTGACGTGCGCCCCCTGAGAGCGCCGGTGCACCCCCTCACAGGCTGCGCGCAGGCGATGGGGGGGCGGGGAGGGCAGGCGAGAGGGCTGTGAACCCCCCCCAGCCAGCGTGATCGGTCGCTGGGGGGGCAAGTGCCCCCCGCCCCCACCCGCCCTCGACTCAGGAGGCACCAGGCGCCCATGTTTGCAGGCTTTTAGGAACAACACCCTTCCTTAGGCAGTGACTCTCACAGGGCAGAAAGCAGAGACTCTCCCTGAAGAAGGGTGTTTGGACCCAAAAGCTTGCAAAGAACAATTTTTCCAACTATTTCATTGGTCTAATAAAAGCGATCACATTCACCCAAACAACCTGGGGTGGAAACTCTCCAGGGGACACACCACGGCTACTGTTTTCCAACCATTTCATTGGTCTTTTTACTTTTTCCAACTCTTTAGTTGGTCTAATAAAAAAATATTGTATTGACCTGAAGAACCTTGTTTGTCCCTGTCCTTAGACCAACATGGCTACAACCAACAGCCCCATCGCATGAGTTTATACATACTGATATGGCCTATCACCCGCCACTCCTGCCTTCTTTCTTTTCAGTGTTGCTGATAGCAGCAGTCAGTCATCATTGCCTTCTTGCTCTTTATTGCTTTCAAATGCAGTGCATAGTTCAGAAATGTGTGTGTATGTACACAGATAGATATCCATTTACACACATGTGGTGATCCCTCAGGGTCAAGGATGACCACTCCTACAGGACAGAGAGGAAGAGAAGGATGTGTATACAAATAGGTGGACATGATGATGGTTGAATGGAGGGGTAGATGCATGTGTACAGGGAGGTAGAGATGGGTGAATGGTTGGTGGTGTGGATTTGGGGATGGATGGATGAATGGAGGGACGTATCATAGTAGAGGAAGAGATAGATGGTTGGGTACTATGGAGATGAAAGGGTTGTCAATATGTCCCTTGACGCTGAGAAGGCCGATCCTAGAGCTGTTGAAAGCTGGGCAAACACCACAGGTGGTGATTAAAGGGAGGGATGAACCGTAGATTTCTCTGCCTGGTTTCCTTTCCTTCCATTTCTGTCATTTTTCTTTCCTCAGGGCAAGATGGTTTTCCTCAAAGTAAGATGTACCTTCTCTCACAAGGCATCGCCATGTTGCCCTGTCCTGGGCTAGTTTTTCCCAACTTGTGATGTCAATGCCACATTTTTTCATGTTTGCCTTGAGGGTGGCCTTCAAACATTTCCTCTGGCCCCCGCATGTTGTTTGTCCTTGGCTGGCTTGGGAGTAGAGCAGTTGTTTTGGTAAATGTACATCAGGCCTGCGCACACAGCACTCTCTCTGCTGCAGCTGATGTTGAATAATCAGCGCTTCCAAACTGGTGGTATTGGTGTCAGTGAGGCTGTTTTCATTTGTGCAACCATCCTCCCACTTTATGCCAAGGATCTTCCAGAGGTAGCTCTGGTGACAGTGATTATATCTATAATACACACGTGCATTCATGTATATATGTATATGAGTGTATATATGTGTGTGTGTGTGTGTGTGTGTGTGTGTGTGTGGTGTGAATATATATGTGTGTATCTGGGGGTCCATTCTGGTGCCTTTGCACAAGGTGTAATTGCCTACTTCCTGTTACACACTTATTATTATATATATAATACACACGTGCATTCGTGTATATATGTATATGAGTGTATATGTGTGTGTGTTTGTGTGTGTGTCTCCTTGTAGTCACTGGCCTGCTCTTGTCTTCCCTCATTCATTTTATTTTTCATGGGTCATAGTCATCAAAAATGCATGTTCGCTAACCCCACGTCTCTTCCTCTCCATCCCTCAGGTCACCAAGTGAGGCGTGACGTGAACACAGACAGAAAGTCACCATGGAGGTGGAAGTCTGGCCTACAGCTACCAGGACAATGAGGCCAGGGGCCCTGGATGAGTTTACAGTTCCTGAGGTGGCTCAGTTCATGGTTACAGAGCAGCGGCCCCACATTGAGCAGCTCTTTGGTGTGGAGCTCAACATACTAGGAGTGCTGGGGACCAAGCAAAATGCTGAAGACACCACCCCAGGTGCCAGGAAGATCTGGCTGCAGCTGAAGGGATCCAAGGAGAGTCTGCAGAGAGCAAAGGTAACTGAAAGGGCTTGCAGGATCACTTCTTCATTCCCTCTCCAACCTGTCAACCAAATCCACACAGATCCATCAAACCATCCAACACCATACATGCACATTCTTCCATTTATCTGACCCCATACACATTTACCCATCCATTCATCGCCATAGTACCCATTCATCCATCTCTTCCTCTATTATGATACATTCCTCCACTCATCCAGCCATCCCCAAATCCGCACCACCAACTATTTATCCATCTCTCCCTCCCTGTACACATGCATCCACCCCTCCATTCATCTACCGTCATGTCTACCCATTCCTATACGCACCCTTCTCTTCTTCTCTGTCTCCACATAACCCATCCATCCCCATACATGCTTTTCCAGCCATACATGCCCTCTTTCCTTCCTTCCACCTCTGTCCTATGGTTTCTAAGCACTTTGCAATGCCCAAAATCATCAAGGCTTTGAGCAGAATCATTTGTGGGTCTTACAGATATGCATATGTATGATAACTTTGTCTGTGTCTGTACATCAGCATCCTCTTGTGCCACAACTGTCTATCTCACAGTCTTTTGTGTGTCTGCCTGTGTGACAGCCTCGTGTGTCTATATCATAACCCGTTGAGTGCTGTATCTGTGTTACAACCCTCCAGTAAGGACCACATTGCCCTCTTTTTTGTCCTTGTTAAGGTGAGGATGTCTACCCATCATCCTAGAAAAGCATAAGGTGTAGACAGCAGATGACAGGTGGGCTAGACGTTGGTGTACGGCCATTCTACTGTGCCTATCCACACGCTCATGCCCCATTTCTATCTACTTTTGGTCTACACATTTCCTTGTACAACCATAGACAGTTTAACCAATTTATTTTTAGGCCCATATAGCAGGCCTGGGAATATTAGGTCTCAGACTCAAGTTGAGCGGTGTAGCCTGCTTGAAGATAGTTAACAGTGGAGTATATGGTGCATATATTATGTAGTTGGCAAACTTGATGTTCAGGCTAAATATTTATTTGCTGTTAGGCTGGGATATTCTAATTTTACAATAAAGGTGTTAGCAACCTATGGCTCACGGGCCTGCAAATCTGACCTGCAAAGCTGTGACTTTGGCAGCAGGTTGCTCTGTCTGCACCACACTACAACTCTGCCCATGCTGTGCCATGATCAGGCAGCAGGGTCAAGTATGACCAGCAGTAGCTGGGTCCTAGCATCAACCCACCTCCAACCTAAGTTGGCTTATTTTGGCACCCCACTAGAAAGTGTTGCTGACCCCTGTTCCAATATATGAGACTGTTACAAAGCAGAATATAAAAAGGTTATGCTTATATAAGTACAGAGAAAAATATATGAAGCACCTAAAAAGAGGAAGATACATAGACTGTTACTACTACATAGCTACATCACTGGATTGTGTATTGATTATTTACTTATACTTAGCTGTTCCAGGTCTTGTTCCAGTCATCTATGATCTTACAGTTAGTTTCCCTAGTGCATATTAGCTAACACAACTTTTACAATGTTTTCTACAAATGTTAACTAGGTTATTGCCTAAACTCTTTATATACCTGTACAGTATTATGATACTCATGTTACATGTAAAACATTCTTGTCTGTGTATTTAGAGTCCTTGAGTAAAGTGACTATGAGGGTGGTCTGGCATTGGTACACACTACCTAGCGAAGTTGTGGAATCTCCATCCTTGGAAACGTATTTAAAGTAGCTTAAACAGACACTTGGCTGGGATACTTTAGTCAGATCCTGCTCTGAGAAGATGGCTAGACTAGACCTTATGGACATCTATACACATACATTTTCGTGCCTGGACACGCCAAAGATCTGGCGTGTCAGAGCAGACTCAGTTAATTGTGTCTGCTCCACTAGTGAGCTAATGTGCACGGTACTGCAGTGCTTACAGTTGTATAAGCAGTGAAATGTGCATCAGCACGGAGAAAATGGTGGTAGTGTGCTTTTGAACTAAAATGTTTTAGTTCAAAAGCGGACTGCTGCCATTTTCTGCATGCTGACGCACATTTCACCACTTATACAACTGTAAGTGATGCAGGGCCAGGCACTTTTCAAATTGCCCGGCACTGTGGCACTTGCATGTGTAAAAATGCCCTATGAGGTTTCATAGTTTCATAGTTGGTAGGGTCGGAAGGGACCTGAGCAGATCATCAAGTCCAACCCCCTGCCATGGCAGGAAAGAGTACTGGGGTCAAATGACCCCGGCCAGGTGTTCATCTAACCTCCTTTTAAAGACCCCCAAGGTAGGAGCCAGCACCATTTCTCTTGGAAGTTGGTTCCAGATTCTAGCCGCCCTAACAGTGAAGTAGTGCCACCTGATGTCTAGTCTAAATCTACCCTCTGCCAGCTTGTGACCATTATTTCTAGTCACTGCTGGTAGTGCTCGGGGGAACAGGGACTCTCCCAATGCCTGTTGGTCCCCCCTGACTAGTTTGTAAACAGCCACTAGATCCCCCCTCAGCCTTCTCTTTCACCTCCTTGGTCCTGCTTGAAATGCATCTGTGGATTCATGACAAGGTACGGTTGGCCTTCCTGACCACTTCCCCACACTGTCGACCCATGTTAATTTTGGCATCAATAATGACTCCGAGATCCGTTTCTGCCTCTGCACTGACGAGAAGGGAGTTCCCCAGCCTATAGGTATGCTGCTGGTTCTTCCTCCCCAGGTGCAGCACCTTGCGCTTGTCAGTGTTGAAACCCATCCTGTTCTCATCCGCCCACCCCTGTAACCTGTCCAGGTCCGATTGCAGCCTATTCCTCCCTCCTAGCATGCCCACTTCTCCCCAAATCTTGGTGTCATCTGCGAATTTGAACAGGGTGCTTTTTACACCCTCGTCCAAGTCGCTGATGAAGATGTTGAACATTGCGGGCCTGAGGACCAAGCCTTGGGGGACCCCACTGCCCACATCCCTCCAGGTTGAATAAGACCCGGTCACCATGACTCTCTGGTTGTGGCCCTCCAGCCAATTAGTGACCCATCTGACTGTGTAGGTATTGGTGCCACAGTCTCCTAGCTTTTTAATGAGAATGGGGTGAAAGACAGTGTCGAAGGCCTTCCTAAAGTCCAGAAAGACTACGTCCACTGCTACACCTGAATCTAAGGATTTTGTGACCTGGTCATAGAAGGCCACCAGGTTGGTCTGATGGACCTGCCTCGAATGAACCTGTGTTGGTTGCCCCTAAGCATAATCTCCCCTGTTTCTTTCAGCCCTACTTGCCTATGATCCTATGGTTGGATGAAATATCCTGTTGACCTATTTTAGGAATGCTTGTCCATGTTCCCACAGCATCTTGAGGGTCACTTAGTTTTACAGGAAAACCCTGGATTCAAAGTTTTGCTTCTATTCTAGTGATAGCTTCTTTATCCAACCTTAGCAGGATTCCATTTCTGTATAGGTCTGGTTCAACTTTGAGAAGATAATTGTTTTGGAAACTGTACAGATAACAAGTTTTGGGTTTTTAAAAAACTTTTTTTTAACTTCATTTATTAATGAATCCAATAGATAAGTTTAGTAGAAGAATACACACATAAAGTATGTATTGTAACATCAAATTTCCATTTAAAACATTTTAACAATGAGTTATAGTCTTGAATTAACCTTAAATTATAAAAGTAGCTTTTGGTGATATGTTTTCCCTTCCTGTAACAGGACTAGTAAATACTAGCATTTATTATGCATGCAAATGTTAGAGTGATTTTTCAATATGTACTAGTACTGCATTTTCTTATGAAGCTCACATATACAATTTTTACTTAACTCACACCTTCACTGACATTCTGTTACCATTCATCCTGTACAATTCACCTTTAATTCACCAGGTCTGGAGGGTTTACGTCATTTATCTTCTCTTTTCATCCTTTTACCTTTTTACCACATAGTACAACTAGGTATTAATTTCCTTCCAAAGCTGCTTGACCACCTTCCTTAGTGAACATAACACTTCCCCTGCAACTTGTACAGCACTATACTTCTCCTGCAGTCTGTCCCAGATTGCTTGTATTTAGTGTATGACTGTTTGCCTTTCAGAGAGGGTATTTTCTTACTTACTGAGATCAGTGGTCAGGCTCACCAGTGTTAGTCTCTCATATGCTGTCAAGGGTGAGGTATTAGTACCAGTCATGCTAGGCTCCCTCAGCTTGGATGGACAGTGAGGGCTCCCTCTTGGTATTGTCTGTAATGCTGTATATCACTCCAAATGACCTTGTAGACCACCAGTTTTGTAACAAAGACTCTTCTGGGTTTATTGCCTACAAATAAGCCTAGACATTAATATCTATAATCCATTCAGACATGGTGCTGGCCAGGTTATTTGCAAACATGGCATCTTCATGAAACAAGCCCTAGATCAATGCAAAGTCTTTAGGGTTCCCAGGCCCCTTTTTATACACGGATTGAAACAACTCCATGTTTACAGCAGTCACTTCCTAGTTCTCACCAAACACTAAAACATCTTCAGGTGACATCTTTTACATCCAGTTCTCAGCTTCCCACCAAATTGGGGAACCTGTGGGGAGGTTTTTGGGTGTTTTGTACCTATCTTATCCATTGCTTTCCATCTGTTGTCTTCCTGAGGTGCCCAAAAGCTAACACTTTTAACTTTCCCAGAGTTTCCACTTAGGCCATATGGGGTCTACTTTCTGGACACCAAAGTCTATTGCTTATACTATTACTAGGGCCTACTTCAATTCATGCTGTTAACAGGCCCTGTATGATTTTTATATGTGCAATCCATGCTCCAGTGAGGCCTACACTCACAATCTTTTGTGTGTGTTCCAGTGTGACAACCTTGTGTGTATGGGAGTGTCTATGGGTCTATCTTACAATTGTGCCTCAATATATGCGTATCACATTCTTTTTCTTGTCTTTGTCTGTGCTTTGTGTGCGCTTGCATGCATGCACACCACAGCCTGTGTACGTGCGTTGCAGTTGCAAAATATGTATTGCAAAATGCACACGAGTACTTTTTAGCCACGTGGTTTTGCTTGCATACATCGCTGGGCTTTTTTAATCCCTCACTGCCCTGTGGGTGTGTTACAACACAATCCTGTGGTTCTGGTTGTTGTAAATTCCCTGTCTCCACTGCAGCTGATTCCAGATTCATGCCAGAGGGTGGAGGATGGGGAGCTGAGATTAGAATTCAGGAATGAA